TTCAGCTTCTCGAGACTCTCAGCCTTCTCCTCCTGTTAGAGCTTCTGCCTGCACTCTTATTTTTTTCCTCTATGTCCTCTATGTCCTCTATATTGAATGTTCAAATTGCTTCTTGGTGAATGTTAGCTAGCCAGAGTCTGTAGTCCCCGGAGTCCCCTTACCCCCCCCCTCGCAGGCCCTTGGAGAGGTTGGCGGGCCTTCTAAGTTGGTACCCGGAGCCGCGCCCCCTCCCGCGGCTTGCAATGCTGGCGGCCATTGCCCTTCCTCTCCACAAAATGGGCCCACCCACGTTCGTCCCTCACTGCCCTCAAAAGAGTAACCCTTCTTTTGATCAATGCTGTTTGTGTTCTAACTGTAAATTCTTTCTGCTAACATATTTTATTCTATTGATTTCTACATTATTATAACTATTGTAAATTGTTCTTTTATCTGCGTTTCTTGTATGATTCGATTTAATTATTTTAACAATAGCCCTAAATAAATAAATAAATAAATTCTTCAATTACTAATGGATGATCTAGAAGTCTTAAGGATTCGTGGCGTAATCTGAGAGCTCGCCGTCTATTGCGGATATATCTTCTATCCTTCTATCCTAATTGAGGCAACATCCTCCCTTGAGCTAGCTGTGATGGCGGAATGTAGGGGGGTGGGGAACGCTCAATACGACGAGACACTTTCGTGCGTCACGTCAATCTGTTTCTCATCAATTCCCTAACGATTTTACGAAGTCTTTTCATACAAGATAAAAATAATTGCTTCAACATGGATGCGAGCGATGTGTACCGTACTACATTATGTGTTACTTCAATGTGGTATTCGTTCTCCAAGTAATGCTGCATTCATGATCGTTTTTCAAAACGTAAAAAAGGAAAATACAGCACACAAATAGTCCCCATCATCACCATGATGACCCTGATGAGCAGGTCACACCATGGATCCAGTCAAGAACGCTATTCACTTGGTACACAAAAATCTGAGAAAAGCTGTGTTGCGTAGAGCCATCACAACCACACTGACTCTGTGGCTATACCGTTGCTTCGCCATCTAGTTTTAAACGCTCGAATTTGAGCTACTGCACGGAACTCAATATACATAATCCAGCGTGAGTTAGCGTCGCACAAGTGGAGGAGGAGAAACGTGCAACACGGGCAACATTAAAGAGCCTCAACAGGTGGTAGTGTGTGAACCCAAACGCCAGTTGGGAAAACCCTCCACAACTGGGGCAGGAAGTCTAAGAAATCGCACGATTAAAAGTCCATGAAAAGCAGGCAACATTCAAGCTATCTATAAAGATACCCTCTTCCTTTTTTAAGGTCATAGCCTTCGCCATAAAATCCATACATTGCAGTCGTACCAAATTTCGGAGTGTCTCGAAATCAAAAGTTTTTAACTCATATTTGGCCTACAGGGTGGTCCAAAATTATGAGGACCGCGTGCGCGCGCGGTCATATCCACTTTTTTCCGAGTCGCTCCATTTTCATCTCCTTTTCTGTGCACTATGTGAAGGGTACAATGTCTTCTTCCTAATGAAACCAAATTCATGCAGTTCTCAAAACTAGTGAAATAACAACATCTCCTTACGTCAGTCCTCAAATTGAACTCACTAGGGCTCTGGCACGTTACATCTAGCGGCAGTCTAACGTATCAGGGAAGCTCTTATGGGCAACAGTTCAACTCTTCAATAAGTTTGGAACCACCACAGATGGAAAATTCGGAGACTCGAAAGTTACAGCTACCACCAGGATAATTATCAGATGCAGAAACTAGGTCTCCCCTTGTCGACTTTCGTACTCCCAAAATGAAAAAATTGATGTGAAAACCCAGCCAGACACTCTAAAGACTCCACATCTGTAGTGGATAGAAAGCCACTCGAGTAGTCTACTTGGGACTTTTACAGGACCGAGCACCCAAGAATAAAGCAAAAATTCTCTAAAAAGCGATTTTTCGAGTTCGTTGCTTTCGAAGAATTGTTACAATGGAACCTCCACCTAATAGCTCTAGATTTCTGTATTTTACACCCTGGAGACAAGCGCAAATAATGCCCCACAAAACTTTGATCCCCTGAAGAAAGCAGAGCAGAAGGCCTGGAAACATTTTGACACGCCTCAGTTGCGTGCCACCGCACGCGCCATCCCCTTCATCTGAAGGCTCGTGTAAACGGGCAGGTGGCAGATCTCAATTCTATTCTGGAATTACTTTGAGATAAGAGTTACAAACACTTCCCTGAAGTTTGTTTGTTCCATCAAGCTACTATGCGTTTTTAACGACACAATGTCTTGGTCCTCATAATTTTGGACCACCCTGTACTTTATTTCAAAACAAGTACAACGATAAGTGCGCTGTCACTGTCAGTGACTTGCTGCCATTGAGCAATCGAAGAGTGGATGCCTTAGTCCAAGACAGCTTCAAGTGTGCGCTGAGGAATCCTCGACATGTCGACAGGGGGGGGGGGTCGTATTGGCCCGCTGGGAGGAGATCGGCCCGATCGATGCAGTAGGATCAACAGCGTCGGAGGACAAACATTAAGGATTGAATCGATGCCATGGGAGGCAAGAGGATTTCCAATAACAATGTTATTCCGCTTACACAATTTAATTCTGGCTACATAAATCTGTTGGGGTTCAAAAAAGCTCGAGTAATTTTTAATTATCTCAGCGATTTGTCACGACATTACCTAAAATTCGCACGTCTTCCCGCGTAGGATATTTTATCTTTCAAGTGAGTCCTCGAATCTGAAGGGATGTGAAGCACACGGCGCATCCCAGAGTGGGCCCAGTTGTTGCGCGCGCTTCAACTACGGCTCTCTGGAGAAAAAAATCTCAATTCAGGAAAAATCAAGAGGATTCTGAAAGGGTCCGTGTGAAATTACAGTCCACTATTCAACAAGAAATGCAGCCTTCAGCGTCAAATTCGAGAACGTATAAGTGCTAAATTCAAGACTCGCCGAACACCTTTACACGGTGATTCCAGATCTGCTTCACTTTCGTATGTAATCGCCCTGAAAGGAGCTATAGTCGTTGAAATAGTGCCAATGCAGCGAAAAAGTACCTTTCGGCGGTACTCGGGCAAAAATCCTCGAACGTGGCCATTTTTTAAATAGTGGACGTATTAAGCTGCTTTAGTAACCATTGAATAGAGCAAATCTTCTAGTTTATGATGACACCAGGTTTGCTCCGCCCGCTATCGCGCGCATCACAGGGTAGGGAGGAACCACGGAATAGCAGCATGACGTACTCCATTAACCACCTCACTATTGAATGTGTTATACCTCCTTATACCCCTTCTCTCCGGCGCATGGCAGCGCCATGTTCTCCTCCCTTTCTCCTCTCCCCTTCTCTCCTCTTTCCCCCCTCCCCTCCCAGCCTCCCCTTTCTTGCCCCTTCCCTCTACCCCTCTCCCCGCCCCCTCGCTCATTCGACTGCCACGCATGTGGGAGCCACAGCGGCTATATAAACACCGCGAGCAGAATGAGTCTGAGTGTGCTCGATCGGTGTTTATATAGCCGCTGTGGGTGTTATCATGATCATGACATCAACATCACGAAGTGTTGCCCTTCGTACTCCCTGGTTTTGTGAGCGGTTGGTCCGGACGGACAGAACGACACACACACACCGACAAACCGACACACCAAAGTTCTGGTTTATATAATGAAGTGATATTAATTTTTCAGATTGGATGAGTTTGAACGGAGTTATGGCTTTGGAAAGCGTAAAAACTCGCACTCATCACAAATTTTCCTCGTTAATTTTGCAAAAATCCTCAACGTGGCCATTTTTTAAATACTGGACGTATTAAAGGAAGCGATTACGATAAGGAATTTTCGCATCGGGGGAGAACCTGCGCCACACGGAGCAATTACTTGGCTGCCAAGGAAGCGATGTGTGGCCCTCCCACGGCGAAAGGTGCTGTGGTTGCTGAGCAGGACCCGCGTGACGCCCCGCCCCAGTGACGTGACGCCCACTAGTTTTGTTGATGATCTGGATGGACTGTTTGCTGTTGGCTTTTCATTTTGGATGATCATTTCCCTTCTAGCGGCTGTATCTTCCAACTTGCCCACGTATTGCCTTATCAATCAAAACACTATGCTTGTTGGCATGATGGCGGCTATCGGGGTTAACACGTCCGAACAACGTCGTTCTTTACGTTCGCTCGCTCATCCATGGTCGAAAATGAAAAGGCAATCGGAGGGGTACTATTTTGCTTATTTTGACGGATTGCTTTCTTTAACGGGGGAGAACTAGACCTTTTCATAGTTCGGCTTTTGAAGAGGGTCGTTTCATAGACTTCGGCCTCTGGGGAGGGAGGGAGCGGGATCGTATTTCCGAATTTTCCTCGACAATTCACTTGACCTCCTCCCAAATGAACTCACTTGAAAAAAAAATGCGGTGATTTCTAGGCGCCTTTGGAGAATGACTCTTTGGTCGCAAGGTGATTGCTAATGTAAGCGAGACGGAAACAGTCCAGAGGAGGCCAGTCAGCGCTCTATGGTGGGTCTAGTGAGAGTTTTGAGAGAAGTCTCGAAGAGAAAGAGTTGTGTTGATTTTCTTGTGTATGGTAACTTTTAGGTCATAGGGCGAATTGTTAAAGTTTCACTACCACTCTTGATCGTGGATCATAGTCTCTTCCTGGATGATTTTCCTCCTTATTTGAAGAGAGCCTGTAGTTCACAACTGTCAAAGAATATTTGAACATTCTGGCATCGCACGATAGACGGCAAGAAATTGTTTCGCAGGGTAGTGATGCGTGATGCTTCGACAGGATTATTACCCAGTCTAAGATAGTGAAGAGAGCAACTGAGCCCGGTGTGCTCCACGCATATTCAGCTACAATTGCTGTTTGCCTATAGCACACGTAAGTCTCTCAAGAAAGTAAGGGCATGAGATCCTAAGAATGTGCATAGGTATCTGATACGCCCTGATGATTACAATTATATGAGTGGCTTAACAATCATTTCATTTCGCGGCACGCCGTGACTAGATGTGATAAAATCTGCAACTCACATTCCGTATAGTTAACGTTTTTGAAAGGCGATAGACGTTTACATCTTCGTTGCAGTCCTTTTCAACATCACGTTTCTCAATGAACTCGGCAACTACAACCGTCGGATAGATGCGTGGTCTTGTACGACGGTACCACCACTACAATGCACAATATTGATAAGGACTTGCTACTTCTGACCAGGAAGGCTTCCAAACCCCCGTGGTTGGGTGAATGTATACAATCAAGAATGCTACTTACAAATATGGGGAATCAAACTGCTACTTGGTTCTACGGAGCAACTTCTAAACCATCAAAACCAATAGAAAATGCAGCGTCAGTATCCGAGCAGCGGTATCAGAAATTTTAATTCCCCAGAAACATTGTCTGTAGAGCTGGATAGGTGGCGGTCACGATTATGAAACTAGTTTCTGATACAAGGGGCATCTGATACCAATTTGGTGTCACAGCCTGCCTACTTTTGTGTTGCATTTCTTGTAAATTTTGACCGTTGATATTCACAGATCAGCTTTGCGAAATGATCCCAGTACCAGCGTCAGGCCCAGGTTGACAAGGCCGGCTGATGAAGACCCCCGTCACAACAAATATGTCTAAAGTCGAAAAAGGAATCAGTGATAAAGCTAGGACGTCACCCGGAAGTGGCGCGCAGAACCCCCGCCCGAGTTCTGTGGTCAGTATGCGAGGGCTACCGAGGAGTGAACGGCCTCGGCCAAAGAAGCTAGTTCGAATTGGGACTCTGAACGTAGGATCGCTAACTGGGAAGTCCCGAGAGGTTGCTGATCTGATGACGCGCAGGAATATCCAAGCCTTCAGGAGACGCGATGGAAAGGTGCTAAGGCCAGGGAAATCGGGGAAGGTGTCAAGCTCTACTACAATGGAGAAGACACCAAGCGGAACGGTGTGGCCATAGCGGTAGCGGAGTCGCTCAAGGACTATGTCTCCGCTGTGAACAGGATCAGCGATCGGATCATGGCTGTGAGGATAGACACGAAGGAGGGGTACTGGACAATACTCTCCGTGTACGCACCGCAAGCCGGATGCCCCGAAAGTGATAAGGACGAGTTCTATCTGAGCCTGGACGAAGCCATAAGATCGATTCCGGAAGGCGATTACCTGACCATAGCAGGTGATCTGAATGGCCACGTCGGCAGTGACAGAAGAGGCCTGAAAGGGTGCACGGAGGTAGAGGGATAGGAACGAGGAACGCTGAGGAGAGAGGGTCCTGGACCTGGCTACGCCCACGATCTGGCAATCTGCAGCACGTTCTTCGCGAAAAGGGAGACTCAGAAGGTCACCTACAGCAGTGGAGGGAGACAAACGGAAATCGACCATGTGCTGGTAAGAAGATCATCCCTCAAAACTGTGAAGGATATCAAGGTACTCCCTGGCGAAGAACTGGCTCCCAGCACAGGCCCCTCCTGGCAGACATAGCCATAGACCTCCCCAAGAAGACAAGGGTAAGAACCGAGAGGAGAATCCGGTGGTGGAAGTTGCACCGCAGAGAAGAGTGACCTCAAGCGAAGGATAATGGAAGTTGGTCTCCCAGATCCTGAGGGACCAGTGCAGCGGACTTGGGGCAATGCAGCTGAGATCATCCTACGATGCGCCAAGGAGGTACTGGGCGAGACGCGAGGTGGATTCAGAGGAGACAAGGCAGCGTGGTTCTGGAACGAGGAGGTCCAGCGAGAAGCAGAAGAAGGAAGCATACAAGCGCTGGCAGAAGACCCGGAGCCCCGAGGACCTCGCTGCCTACAAGAGTTGCAAGAGGCTCGCTAAGGCTGCCGCCAAGGCGAAGAACACGGAGATGGACGCCTTGTACGAGAAGTTGGAAAGCAGAAACGCAGAGAAGTTCGTCTTCAGACTGGCCAAAGCCCGGCATCGGGCTACCAAGACATCAGGGTGGTTAAGAATGTGAAGAGCAGCAACGGCGCCATCTTGAGGAAGACGAAGGTTGGGTTGCCTCACTAGCTTCCTGAACCACGTGACTGCGGTGAGTCACGTGGCAGCGGAAGGAAGGATTTTGGATACCTGGAAACGAGCTCTATCATCCCCATCTTCAATGCAGAGAGGTGACACGATAGACTGCTCCAACAACCGTGGTGTCAAGTTGACTGTTAAGTTCAAGTTCAAAGTTCAAGTCCGACCTCACTACTTGGCCTTCCTCGTCCTGAAGAAGGCGTTCGACCGGCTACCGCGAGCAGTACTATGGAGAGCGCTTAGGGAACGGAACGTGCCAGAACACCTGATCTCTCTGGTGAAGGACATGTACGATGGGCTCAGGCAGCTATACGCACCCGAATGGGGTGCACCAAGGATCAGCTCTGAGCCCGTTCCTCTTCCTCCTAACACTAGATGTCCTGGTGAAGGGCTCATGGAGGGACCACTGAAGACCATCCTCTACGCTGACGACATCGCCTTGATAGCGGATAGCAGAGAGGAACTTCAAGCCAAGGTGCAGAAATGGCAGAAAGTCCTGGCAGAAGGTGGGCTACGGCTGAATGTCAAGAAGACCAAGTTCCTGAGCTCTGAGGGTGCGGAAAGGATCGTAGACGGCCATGGTGAGGTCATTAACACGTTGACGACCGTGTGGTATGATGTCATACCACACTCTTTCGGCCACGTGGGACCGTGTGACATGATGTCATGTCACAGTCTTTTTTAAGCTGGTTTTCAAACATTTTAGGTAACTTATTTACGTGATGTATGCGCCATACTTAGGCATTGTTACAAAAGGCGTGGTCCCTGGAAAGAAGCTTCGGTTGATGGGCTATCGAGTTTTTCTAAAAATGTTTGAATAATGATCAAATCACAGGAATCGCTAAAATGGCCAAAATCGCATAATCGGAGACCTACCACACAAGAAAGATAACAAATACACACTTCCTGAGAAAAAGGAGTTCTCGTGGGACCGTTTGACATGATGTCCATGTCACACTCGCGCGGTCAAAATAATGCGCGCGGTCCCACACGCCAGACAGCGAAAAATAGCGCGGTCGTCAACGTGTTAAAAGGGAGAAGGATTTGAAGGAGGACCTTGGGAGCGATCTGGCAGCCGACGGTAGTGTGGATCGGTACTGAGCTCGAGTAAAGCTGCATGGATGAAATTGAGGAAGCCCAGTGAAGTCCTCGTCCTCTGCGATCGATGGTGCTCCAAAGCGGTCAAACACTATTGGACAAGGAAGATTGGAAACGGGGATGTCAGACCAGGTCATGCAGACTGCCCCTGTCCAGCTGAAGGTACGGGAACAGCGTCTGCGATGGTATGGGCATGTGCTAAGGAGGCCACAGGATCATCCGAAGCGATGGACTTCGAAGTGCAAGGCAAGCGACCGCGAGGAGCCCCAAAGAAGAGGTGGAGAGACGTGATCAAGAAGGACCTAAGTGAAGTCACGGCCACAGCAGAAGATGCCCTGGACAGAGCAAAGTGGCGACGACTGACAAAGACAGCGGACCCTGCGACTGCGCGGGACTAACGCTAGGGAGAAGCAAGAGGACTACTAATATTCGCAGCTAATTCTATTTGGCCTTCTTCATTTTTCCTTCAGTTTTTTCGTGATCTTTTGCTGATCCGCTCGTCTTCACCTTATCTCATAATCACTGCTTTTCCAACTCAATTGTGCAACCCTACTCACTGACGAGCCTTAAGTGTTGTCAATAGTCTTTCTGTCTCACTCGTGTTCTTCTTTCTATGCTAGTCTCGTTTTTCTAACATTTTGCATCAAATGAAGTAAAAACTTGTTTTTGTCGTCCTTTTACTTTATGGGTGTACAAAACATTTATGGTTCGTCTGAGTGAGAGGCGAAACGAATCACCGTGTTATTCTTAACTGATCATTCTCAACTTGTTACTTTTTTTATCTAGGTCTCAATCTATGGTTCCATGAGAAAAAGAAAGCCTTCCTTGGTCTGGGAAGCCGTTTACCAAAAGTACTTCACATTAAATTCATTTACTTACACCACCGTCAGTATACTTTAGCGATGGTGAACAGTTTTTCGGAGCATCAAAAAATTTTTTTGGTGACTCCAATATTTTCTTTATATCATCACCAATTCCTAGAAAGAGAAAATTTGCTCGAGATCAGATTCACAAGTAGTTTGGCCCACTGACCCACAAATTGAAACCTCTCTGATGAATCATCAACAGTAGCCGACTCTGCTTCGTCTTGAAGTGAGGTGAACGATTCCCCTTTCTTCTTGCGCTCCTTCTCCAGCTTGGCGGCTTTTGAGGCAAAAGCGTTTTGGAACATTCGGCGGACGTTTTTCTCTGCAACCAAATATGCTTTCTCGTTTCCTGAAGGCTATCACTTATTGTCAAGCTACGAGGACGAAGAGTTAAAAGAACAAAAAAGATCAAGTATCGGGAGATGACCCTTGAAAGTATGTGTGTGCATCAGTTTACACGATGACTACAAAGCGAAGGATGATTCAAATAAGTCATTGCCCATGGCGGACATCAGAACCACCTTCAGCAAGCCGCCCTTCTTGGAAGTCTTGCAGTGGAATGTTGGCAAAATATATCGCTATATATCTTACAAAATCAAACCCTCATTCACTAGACTCACCATTTTCAAAATATGATGTCTCCTACCACTGTTGTCGAGCTCTGAGGGAGCTATCGTAATCGCTTCAAATTCGATTCCATTTTCAGCGTCGCAAAGAATCGTCCCGCATAACTCCCTCGAAAGCGGGTAAAATGAATGGAACCTTAACAAAGGCCTCGCCTCTCTGAAACCATCATCGATCCCTCATTTGCAGGCTCCCCTCTCCTCATTCCATTATCTCTCCATAGGGGACCAGCTCTTAGCTACCGCCTTGACGATCGCATAACACCGAGTTCCTTCCGAGTTCTTTGCGACATACTTGGACGTAACCACCTAGATGCTCGCCTCTTTAAAATTTTCCTGCGCGCGCTCGTTTATACAACTCTTGCAATGAGGCGAGTTTCACCGCTTCTATCAGCGCAGCTATACATACTTGTGTAGGAGACACTATCGCAAATTCAGCGCCATTTCATCAGGTTTGAATTTGCTCCCTACCTCTCTGATGTACCGCCGCAGGTAAGAGCGTAACTATCGCCCATAGAGAAAAGAGGAGTTAATAGGAAACGTATCATCTGTGCGAATTACGTTGTTAGAAAGCGTCTGTGAACAACACTCCAGTGATCCTGAAGTATGGGACTCTGTTTATCGCGATACGCCTTATTGAACATTCCAACGAATCAGTCTCAGTTTTTTACTATTTGTAAGTTTAAATCGTATTTCAAGATAAATCCTCAAGAAAAATCGGAATTTCCGTATGTTGACGCTACTGATCGCTGGATTTGCCGAAAAAAATGGGGACTTCGGAGGATTTTCTTCGCGCTCAAGAAATTTCTCAAAGAGGCGGACATCTCGCTGTTTACGTTGGATCGTAAGCAGCGAATAACCTGCAGCAGGGTGTCCACTAGTCAAAGTCCGACGAAGGGGTCGTATTTGGCGAACATGCGTTGAGATCTTCATAAATGTGGAGATAGTTAACGCTGCAAAGGTCTTAAATGTGTAAAGAAGGGTGACTGGCTGAAATCGCAGAATAAATGACGAGATGTTGAATAAAATGTTTGCTGTTGCAACAGTAGGTGAGGAGTATGATTTTCAAATATCCCTGCAAGAAAAAGAGTGCATGGCGCACCCAGAAGACAAGTAGTTCCGGCAAACCGATCCGATGTCATTGTCCGCAGGCATTGCTTTACAAGAAACCCGATATTTTCGGACCACAAGGGAGTGAGAGTTTTGTAAGGGAAAATTTAGCGAAGAAAACACTCGGATGAATTTAAGTCGCATGGCTCAGAGGGAAAACTTCAAAAGAGAAGAACTTGTGAGTCGTTGGATTACCAGGAAAGATTGTGCACCTCTCATAGAGCTCAGGGCTCTTTGTTCCGGTTTTCCATTTTCCACATGCTCAAATTTGAAGAGAGTTTTGGGCATTTGAAACTTGAAAAGTGCTTTCACCCGTTTTCAGAAGAATAGCTCGAAAATTTTGAGAAAAAAAAAGAAGAAAGCGGGGCTATTTTTGACCCGTTTGATTTTGGAACGAGTTCAAGTTGAAAAAAAAATCAACATTCTAGTTTCTTAAAAGGTGGAAAAATAGCGAAAAGTTGAATCTCAAGAAAGTTGTGGCAGTTCAAATCGAGAAAGTCTGCATGCGACTAAAATCGGATCAACGGCTAGAATTTCCTGAAAAACCGGAAATTTAAAAAAAGCGGTTCTTCCAAAGCTGAGAGGAGTTTCTCTTCTCACTCTTTCACACTTGATTGAAGACCTCTGAGCGAGATGGATGTCATTTCGATGAAGCCTAAACTCTCAACTTCATACTCATCATTCAAGCAACCCGGAAAATCGCAAATCTAACTTCAAATATTGAGCCTGAAAATAGAGAAATTCACTGACAGCAAATTTCAACTTCTCTCCTACATATAATAGAACCTCTGCATTGTACTATATTCTTCTTCTGCCAACGAGGGCTCAAGGTGGAGACCTTATCAGAGGCTTGACGTTTCGACGAGATCGTCTTCCTTAAAGGCGTAAACGAGGCTAAAGGTTTGAGACACGTCTCTTCAGCCGCTAGGTCCTCTGCATAGCGTTTCTAAAAACGAGGACAGCGAAAGATTAGCCCACTAATCACACTTCTCCTAAACTCGCTGGCAAAAGAAGAACTTTGTAGTTGTTACTTTATGGATAATTCGCTCTCGTTCCGGCGGGATGGGTGAAGGATTGTGCGTGCTAGTAGAAAGAACGCGGCGGAGCCGCATGTAGGTCGCATTGATACACCTCCACACACGGTAAGTGTTACGGGAACAGGGGAGTATGGTATGCAGATTTCTAAGGGGAGGGAAGACGTAAAGTCTTTCTATGAACGACAGTGAGGTTTCTGTAGGCATCATTTCAAATAAATAAACGTTAAAGGGACCCAGTAAGCTCACCCCTCCAGCAATGAACTTCAGTGACTGCACGCATCGTTTCAGTCCCTTCGAACACTTTCTCTCGCTTTTTGCGTTTTTCAATATTACGATGAGCTTTGAAAACAAACTTATTCACGCCACTTTTTATGGGACTGCCAGAGCATCCCAGTTGGGATTCGATATCAGCGCCCACATAAATAGCTGTGGACTGAAAGAAATTCTCTGCAGTAGAATTCTAAAATCCCACGCCCACTGACAATCGCTGCATTACGAAGTGGTCGTACCCTAACTAGCAGTCGAATGGGGTTATCCTTCATCGTTGACGAAGAACAAGGAATCTGAAAGCAGAGGCGTACCCCTTTTTGAAATCACTATCCTCGCCTCACTGCCTGCAAAACTTGCGCCCTTATCGGACCTAAACCATGGATGAACTCCGTAGGATTCGTAGCCGGGTTTTCAAACGCAGCAGGGATCACTCGCTCTCAGCATCGAAGAGATCCTTGACAACAGGTAAGCAACGGATGTTGTTTGCAAATCTTAGACTTCAAGCGGTGTTGATCCAGCAACCTTGCCAGCGGCAGCGTGGAACGTTCCTATTGAGCCATGGCAATTTGCCATAGTGGAAGTGGTGAGCATCCCCACGTTGCCTGCAAAAGTTGCGTCACACACGGGTTTGAACCTTCGGTGCACCGTCCCATGAGCGGCATCGCTACCACTGCACTAACGATGAGGATCCTTCTTATGGAGTGTGCAAGGCTTGTAGAGAAAAAGTCTACAAAGGTTGCAGACCTTAGAGTAGTATTGTTTCTCGTAGTATTGACCCGTACTGACCCAACTCCAACGTAGACCGCAGGCGCTACACCATTGACGAATCAATGCAAGTGCTTCCCTTCCCCTTTCCAACACCCTGCTTTGACCCACACAGCCTGGCAGTTTGAATGTGGCCATCTCTAAAGCCCTCCGGAGGAGTTTTTAGAGATGGCCACGTGCAGAGTGGCAGCATGCCTGCGTCTCCAACCTTCGCGCACTTCGACCTTCGACTTTTCTGACGGGTAATCTGCGGAGGGGTTCCAGAAATCTTCCATGCATGGGAAACGTCGGATGGAAGCCCTTACTAGGTTACAAAGCTCATGGTCACATAGTAACTTGCAGCTGAGGCCACACTGCTACCGTCCCTGCTGTCTCAGCACCATCATGATGAATTCCACATTCTTCAATGAAGGAGAACTTGTTCTACAGAACACATCTTTTTCGATCCAAAATCAGGTTTCTTCGTTGTTTCGCTTTCGTCTTCAAATCGCCGTCTTCATTGTAGTCTCCCGAAACAAAGTCCTGTTGTCCAGGGTTACTTTATACTTTTGAAAGGCACTGCAGTTCGTCCCGAATTTAAATTTTCTGTTTGGCCCAAGCCACTGCGGTATTTGAAATGAAAGTTCCCTCTGACCATGGGACCCTTCTGCTTTATGTAGAGTTATACTTCGTTTAGGGAGTTTTTCTGCTCTATTCGATCACATGTTCTGCCTTTATTTTCGTTATGAATTCAGTAGGGTTTTAGGCTTACACGATAAGTGTGCACACCACGAAAATGAGCACACTTTAAGAAATCCCTCCAAAAGGCGATAAAATCGATCAAGCATGTGCATTTAAAATATAGTCGCAACTTTTTCATAACATTCCACTAGCGTTGTCTATGTCTCGAGCTTACAAGGGAAGGATACCAAGTCGAAGTGGCCATCCGTAATGAAACCTATACTCAGAGATGTGTTTTCGGACGCTGATCTCGAATCCACTCTCCAAATTTGCGAAACGATTCTCTGAAAAGTGTTACGGAGGTTGTTTCGAATGAAAGCCCACTGTAAGAGACTCCGGCAGAGCTCGGCTTCCAGCGGCGGCTTGGCCGAGTGGTAGTGGCTTCCAGTGGTAAGACCATGGATGGGATCTTGCTGGGCATGAATTTTTTGCTTTTTGTAATTAGGTCTAATTTAAATATAAAAAATTATTCAGTGTTGAAATTTTCACTGCGTCCAAAGCTAACGCATGTTTAGAGGGGTTTTGTTTAACGCATTCCACTTTTTTCGTAATGTTTCGACCACTGTCGGGGTGTTTCTACGCCACGGAAGTGACGTATATCCGACGATGGGCTAAACAAATGGGAGATGCTTGCTCAACGGACCAAACTATCTTTGAAGGCTTAATTCTAGAAAGCTGACATTTGGACCCAATTTCGAAACTCGGTCTACAATGAGTCGTAGGTGTTATCCCTAGCCCCAGCCACTACCCTCCTGCTCCTCCTGGGCAGCGAGCGTGTACATGAAAAAATATCATATTAATCTTCGGATGGCACGAGCAAGTAG